GGTGGTAAATGTTCTGTTCTGCAAAGACTGGTGCTGAAGGGGCCATGAAATGGCCTTTTAAATCAAAGACAGAAAGAAAAAATAGCTGCAGAGTGACAAAATAGCAATGAAATATAATTTTGGAATTATATATGTTAAAATGTAAACAAATCTTCAAATCCCAAATGTATAGAATTGTAGACTCATAGAATGGTTTGGGTAGGGAGGGACCTTAAAGCCCATCCAGTCCCACCCCCTGCCATGGGCAGGGACACCTTCCACTACACCAGGCTGCTCCAAGCCCCATCCAATCTGGCCTTGGACACTTCCAGGGATGGAGCAGCCACAGCTTCTCTGGGCAACCCGTGCCAGCGTTACAGTAACTGAGCACTGACATCCTAAAGAAAACAGAATTCCCTATGAAAAGCCCTTTAAGAATAGCTTCCCTGTTACATCATGGAAATCTCAGTTAGAAAACTGAAGATCAGAAAAAGAACAACTCCAAAGTGGCAAGATGATGGACTGTCAATAAATACTCCCATCCTTGGGGTCTGTGATGCTGTGGCCTAGCATTCAAAAACAGCTCGATTCTAGCTCTGTCTCAGAGAATTTGGTAACTCCAAAAAAACAGATTGAAAGTTAGAAAAGTGAGGTGTATGGAATTTGGACGACTCCTGTGTCTAACCTGGCAGAGGGAAGCGGCACCCGAGGACCAGCTGAGGCCAGTCCGTGCCCTGGAATGCAGCTGGAGCCAGGCTGCTGGGAGCTGACAGCCCTGCTTTCATCTGGCAGTGGCCCCGCCACCAGCTGCGCCCAGCAAAGAAAGAGAGCGCAGGAATTCACAGCATTCCCCCTCGGATTAATTCCCGGCGGTCCCGCTGCGCCTGAATGAACTGGACTGGGGATTCGTAGCTCTGCTGGAGGAGATTTGCTGATTCCTCTGAGCTCCTGGGGAGAAGTGATACAGAGAGCAAATAAGCAGCGGCAGTGCCGCAGTGAGGCGATGGGCCAGGCACGGAGCCCTCCCGTCTGTCCCACCCGCTGCCCGGGGCTGTTCTCACTCAGGTGAGCTGAGGAGGGACAGGAAGGGCCACGGGCTCTTCCAGCCGCAGCCCTGGTGCCACCCCAAACCCTCTGCCCTGGTGCCCTTCGTAGAAGACAGGATCTGATCATGCTGTGGCAAGGAAAGAAATAAAAATGCATCATTTTAAGTACTGTTATAACTGAAATTTATGTACAGACACACTGTGTAAGCTACCTGCTACATTTCCTCTTTTTTAAACATATCGGTATTTTTAGATTCAGATTTAATAATATTTTTCACGAATATTTTTACCTTTCCATACGTTTCTCCTGAGTTCTGTAAAATCAGAATTCAGTCCTACAATAAGCATTCCTGCCACTCCTGAAGTTCATAATTATTACTCTGGCATTAATGAACCTGTTAATTACACCTCTGCTCTTCTGCTGAGACCAGAGGATAATGGTCAGAGAGAGCTGAATTACATTTACATTTACATTTACATTTTCCAAGCTAAAAACATGACAACTGGAAATCTCTTGGAGGTTTTAGTGGAAAAATTCCCTCTGCTAAATTCTTATCTCAGCCATGGTTTCTGGGCTTTCTATACCATCTCTCTTTGAATGTTCCAAAGTTCCCTGTTTGTTCCCTGGGTCACCAGTTTGGGCTGGATTTACTGGGAGGGCAAAGAGAACTGCACAGTCAGTGCCCCAGCCTCAAGTGCCACGGGAAGCTCTCAGTGACACCTGCCAGCAGCAAAACTGTTGTTCCATCTTGTTTTTCCCATATCATGGATATATTCAGCCTTACTCATAGATATTCCTCATCCAGCACCAAAAACAGCAGAAACCAAGACGAGGTGATTAAGTGATGGGCCAGGTCTGGCACCAGCAAGTTGCCATGTCCAGCTACAGAGTTCTTGTTCTCACAGTCCTGATTTTACTGGATTAAAGTAACTTGTCATGACAACGCTGAAATTTCCTTCCCTTTCTTTAGCACTGCTTAGCCAGTTTTCCAGAACAGCTTCTTAAAAGTACCCGGTTGCTTCCAGTTTGAAAGCCTGTGTTCATTTTTTTTACTTCATTTCTAACAATACCAGCTAAAAATGACTCCATTAGAATTGAGAACCCATTGTCAGGTCTTTTTGTCACGTTAAATGATTAAATTGTGGCCATGTAGGCTGACTGCTGAAAAAAGGATCCTGTCAGACAGAAGGGGAGAAATTCGAAGGCCTCTTTTATGCAACAGCGAGGCGGAGAGCTGCAATAGGTGACTCTAGTTCAAAAAGATTTTGAATCAAAAGACCTACCCAGTGCCTGAGGGGTTTCAAGAAGGCTTTATCCAGCTCTGTGTGTTGAGGGCTGGATTGAGCAGCCTGGAGAATCCCAGAGCCCTCCCTCTCCAGCCCAGCTGAAGGGCTCCCCTGCGGCGCCGGCGCCTGCAGTTGTTGAACAAGTGTTTCTCACACTACAGCTCAATTAAGTCAAGGACATCAGGGAGAAGATGATCCAAGTAGCCTGGAGAGTAGAGGTAACCCACAGGAGGCTGGAGAATTCAAGCCCTTCCATCAGTCTCTTAAAGACTTAAGACTTTGCAGGGTGTTGTGACTGATTTTTCTTTTTCTTTCTTTTTCTGCTGTCACTAATTGTTCACTGTGTTTCACAGTCAATATCATGAACCACAGACTTAATTTTTAGTGCACGAAACTAAGCTAAACATGTTACCAATAACTAAAATTATAACAAGTGTATAATGTTGCAAGGGAGTACATGCAAACCAAGGATAAAACAATTCCAGTATAAAGATATGACAGAATTTTCACAAAAATATAACAATTATTAATTTTTTATCATGATTACATCTGAGCTGTAAATACTCATATAGGTGGTTACCGGCAGGACTAACATAAGCTACTTGATGTGGGTTTCCAGCCCTGATGTTTGCCAGAGATTGAAATGCTGAAGTAATTTTCCAGAACCCCATTTCTCAGTGTGGTTTGTGCACTCTGTTCTGTCACTGCAAAGTGTTAATTCACATGGTACCAATTACTGGATCTCTGACACAACAAGTAGCAGCGAGAAGAAACCCCTGTGGTTTTTATGAGGATAGTAAGTAGAAGTCAAGAAGACATTTTATGCCAAGTGGATCAGGAAAGCAGGAACTGGAGAAGGATTTTATGGTATCACTGCAGCATCTTGTCTGTGATTTTCTATGTATTGTTGTTTAATACTCAGTTCCTTGCTGAAACTTGGCACCAAAACTCAAGGTAGAAATATTCTACAAATCATGGCAGATTTCATGTAGTTCCAAGCTCAGAAATGAGGTTTTTGTCTTCAAAAATGTGTTCCACGTGTTCCATGATTTTGAGATCAAAATGTGTTCCATGATCTCAAAACAATCCACGTCTGAGGACTCTGCCATGGCAGAGAGGGAGCCAGCATTTGGGAACTGGGGGCTGGAAATGGTGAATTAGGTGCACAGGGTACGTGAAGAGAATGTACTGACCACTGCTGAAACAAATGTTGATCTTTCCTTCTTCTGAACAAAGATTTTTTTATTATAAATAAAAAAACCACTAGAGGATTGGAGAATTCATTTCAGCACATAGGCATATATATACACATCATATATATATATGTATCTCCATGCTTTTTATCTTGCAACAGGGTGATTAAAGATCTAATTTGTCTTCTAATTAGGCCTTTTTAATGGTTAAATCTTCAACACTGTAAACAGGAATGAATAGACCTTTACCTGGATGCACACAACTGTTGGCATCTAGCATCCTGCTGTGGTTCCTCTTTTCTCCTTACAAAGCTGATGGTTCCATATGCCCAAGGATCACAAAGATGGCTTGGGTTGGAAGGAATTTTGAAGATCATAATCATCATCCAGGATGGCTCAGGCTGCCTGGAGGCTGCTGGATAAGGAGGTGTCCGAGTCCCCGTAAGGAGCATAAGGTTCAAGTAGATTTAGTGTATCCACCAAGAACCTGGAAAAGTGCAAAAGACAGGACAAAAGACTACTTGCAGGGCTTTTCTTCCTGTTTTTGGTACTATATCACTCTGGCATCTTTATGTGGCAAACAAATCACAGTAAATAGTGTTTTTATCCTTTCATATATTACATGGTTGCAAAAATTGCTGAGAGAAACTGCCAACACACTGCACTAATAACTATAATACTGTTTCACTGGCATAAATGTCTTTTTGCTTTAACCCAGACCATCTGCTTTAGGGGCTTTTGATGATGCAATTACACTGATATTTACAGCAAAGGAAAATTTTCTGGTATGACCTCAGAGTGGGGAATCCAATTCTAAGGGGATATATAAGAAGAAGGGGGGTATGTTAAACTAGCAACTGGTTGAGAGTCTAAAGGAGACAAGATAGGCATGAGGAAGGTGTGGAGATGCAAATTTGGAAATACACATTTAGCCTCAATTCCTCTTTCAAGTAACATTTTCCTGAGAGCAGGAAACAAACACGTCACATCCCCCCAGCGTGCTGTGCGTAACAGCAGCTCCTACAGCATCGATAGTGTATTTACTCAGTGATTCATCCCCTCCCTCCGTGTGTTTATCTGACTGCCCTGACCACATCCACTCCCCAATTACTAGCTAGCAATGGCCTTACAAAACCATGTTCAAGGCACTCCAAACAGTCGGACGCAGGCTGAGGCTTTGGTGTCACCACTCAGTGCAAAGCGCTCGCACAGGGGAATAAATCCATCAGCACTTTCCTAGAATCATCCACCAGGGTTTGCAACTGAATCTGCAGCTCCTCTAACCTACAAAAAGCTTTCTGATGACTTCAGAAGACTCTTGGTTAGGCCTTTTAAACAGAGGAAGAAACAGATCTTCACACAGTTGTTGCATATTGCAGCTGTACAAGTTTTTCAGCAGCCACTCAGTGATTGCACCTACCTGTACAGGTAAAACCAACAGGTGATCTGGCTCTGCCACTTCAACCCAGGAAAGCCGAAGTTATTTTTTTTCTCATTTGGGTATCACCAGTTACCTGCATTCTTAGAATGGAATTCTGTTCTCTTCAGCTTGTAGCAGTGCAATTCAGGACAGACTCTGGCCCTGCAACAGGGAATTGTACACACTATTAATTATGTACGCACTATTAATTATCTCTTAACCAGAAGATAATTCTGCTCTTTTTGTTCTGTGCATTTTTTGCAGGAGTAAGACAAACCAGAAACTCCCATTTTTCAGTAATGTAAGCAAGTGTACACACTCTTTGTCTTCTCCAAATCAGATGTGTTTCCACAATTGGAATTATTATGCAATTATACATGGGTTTGTCAGGTCTTTGTGGCAACAGACTGGGAACCTGGGAAGGTTAAACTACAGGTAAAAAATACTGTGATACTATGTTAAATGGTGTGAAAAATAAATGTGGATAAGGGTTTGACACTAACAGGTATTTTTATAGGTGTTGTAATACATCTGCTGTCTCATACAGCTGTACTTGAAGAAATGTGCAGAAAACTCAGCTGCTCACCCTCATCTTTTGGCACAGTTTGCGAAGGCCTACCTGGCTCTGCACATCTCTCTATGTGGGGATTTATAAAACTTTAAGCCATTCAAAATAAGAAACTAAATTGTATGGGAGCATCTGATACATCCTCAGTGGAAATTAAGTTTACTTACTGAGGATCAGGCTCCCAACTTCTCTTGCATTTGATCTCCCATCTTCCAACTGGTTCATTTAATTCCTCACGTTCTCTTATATTTTCCTGCAACTAAAATAAACTTCTTACTATTTCATATCAAATGCAGTTCAGCACACCTCACAAGGCTGAGCTTTTCCTTTGGAATAGATGCAAACACACCAAGTGGAAGTTACTTCATTATCAAATTTGTTTTGAATCTATTAAATCTATTTTAGAATGATGTAAGCCCTGAAAATGCAGTGGGACTGTCTGAGTCTGTTAGCACTTCTAAGTAAACAAACAAAACCTGTTTTAATTTAGCCCAATTTCCAGGCCCCCATTGTCAGAATACCACTAAAAGCTTTTTGGGTATTAAAAAACAAAATCTAAATAAGAAACAGAAGCTCCACAAGGAGGAGGGCTTTGTGGGAACCTTCCTGCCTTTGGTCTGACAATCCAGAAAGTGTGTTCTGGTTTCCCCCAGCATCCGGTGCACTCCAGCAAGTTTCTAAATCCAGCTGAGTTCAAACTTCCCTCAAAGCTTCGGTGTTCCTTAAATGGCACATTTCAGCTTTGCTGGCAGAGCTGCAGTTCATGGTAAAGGAAGCCACCACCACATTAGCATTTTCCCTAAATGCTGCTCTATATATTCTCAATGCTCAGCTCAAAAGTCACTAAAATAAGCTCCTAAAATAACAACTTCAAACACTTGCACACGGCTGCAGCCTCTCAGAAGGGCTGTTTTTTCCTCCCTCACTCTGTTCCCCCTTAGTGTTTGTTAAACAAAGGATGCTCCATGCCGTAGCAAGAGAGAAAGGCTGATCCCAGTTTAAGGACTAAAATAAGTCAATTAGGATCTGTTGGCTTTTAATTAGAGGATTTGTTATTTATACCAAGCTGTCTCCCAGTATAAACTGGTGGCTGATACCTTCTGTCTGTGATAAGCATCCACTCACATATATATGTGGGCTGAAATGCAGGGAAAAGCGTTTCTTTATCCTTTAATCTGTGCAAAGAGCATCCAGCTTTCATGAGAATGAAATTAAATTACTCATTTAAGACTGAGTAAAAGGCACCTGAGTTAAATACAGCAAATCCTGCCTGTGAACACTGATTCTATCGACTGGAAAACCTGTACAATAATAAAGAATCACAGAATCATTTAGGGTGGAAAAGAGCTTTGAGATCATCAAGTCTAACTGTTAACCCAGCACTGCCAAGGCCACCACAATATAAGCAATAAAAAATTAACTGCAAGAGGTATTTAAAAAAAAACTCTTCAAATTAAAATCACATGAGATGGAATTGCCACACAACACTAGCAGTTTAGAGATAGTGTCTCTTATGGAAGCCACATACTTAATTATGGAAAATGAAGTAAGAACTGTGAAAATTATAATGGAACAGGAGTCACTGATACATCCACAGAACTGAGTAGGAAAAAATCTTACTAATTCATTAAATGATATATGGGTCAGCTTTAAAAAAAAGCCCAGAAATAACAGGAAGCCCAGATCTCACTTGGAATACATATCCAAGCATTTGCACCTGCAATTCCTTCTCCAGCAAGCCGAACACGAGCATGCAGCGTTTTCACTGCTACCAACACCTCTTTGAAATTCACACCTCCTCAAATGTATTCTGCTGCTTTACATGGATTTCTGTCACCACTCTTTCCTTCCCCATTATCACCTGCACCACACAGAGCACAAAAATTCACATTAAATCCCATGGGAAATGCAAGATCTATGCAAATCTGCATAATTACTTCTGTCTCTCCTCTTCAGTTGTTCACAAGTTTCTCAAACTGCTGAGAGAAAAGAGTCCTGACTACACCAGGGAAGGAGGGAAGATGTGAACTAAAATGAGCAACAACCCAAGGCACAAATGCCCCCAACCAGCCCAAATGATGCAGCAGCTGCTGAATTCATCCATGGGTTCCATCAGGAACGTCTCATGGCTGCATCAGTGCCACAACACGTGTCCAGATTAGTGTGCTTGTTAATAGTTTCATTATTCAGTTGAGAGGAGGCCACGGAGATGTTCTCAGGGCTGAAGCCCCTCTGCTCTGGAGCCAGGCTGGGAGAGCTGGGGGTGTTCACCTGGAGAAGAGAAGGCTCCCGGGGGACCTTAGAGCCCTTCCAGTGCCTAAAGGGGCCCCAAGAGAGCTGGAGAGGGACTTTGGACAAGGGCTTGAAGGGGCAGGACAAGGGGGAATTGCTTCCCACTGCCAGAGGGCAGGGTCAGATGGGATATTGGGAAGGAATTGTTGGCTGTGAGGGTGGTGAGGCCCTGGCACGGGTTGCCCAGAGAAGCTGTGGCTGCCCCATCCCTGGAAGTGTCCAAGGCCAGGCTGGATGGGGCTTGGAGCAACCTGGGCTAGTGGAAGGTGTCCCCGCCCATGGCAGGGAGTGGAATGAGGTGCGGTGGTCCCTTCCAACACAAACCAGTCTGGGATTCTGTGATTACCACTTACCTCGTTTTGACTGGTCCAGAATTAATGAGCATTTTAGGAAAATGCAAATCAGATCTGGGACCCTATTTTTTTAAAGAGATTATTTACATGTGCAGACATGCCACTTCAGACTTGGCCTGACCCTCTGCAGTGTCTATGTTATCCTTGAGTGCTACATTTTCTCTGACAGAGGATCTCTGCCCCATGCTCCCTGGGCTCTCCCCAGGTCCAGCACAGACCTTCATCTCCCTGTCACAGGGTTTGGGACAGCAGGAGGGACTCTGGCACTTCCCAAGGGACAGCTGAAGCCACCCAAGGCAGTGATGTCACTTCCCACAGCTCCATCTGCATCGAGTTTCTGATACAAGGGAGCACAACACCAGACTGTCCTGTCTGCTCTAACTGTGGAAGGACAAAAAAATATATTTTTAATTAGAATAGCTCAGCAAATCTTAATTATTATCCTCAAGATTTTTTAATAACATATATAACTTATTTACCTACAAATTCCAGGCTATGCTGGATACTTTCACTCACGAACATATTAGTCATCACTTAATTATCACAACCCAGCCTTATTAATATGTATAATATGGATAAAGAGCTCTCTGGCAGGGATGCATTTTAATGAAGGCGCTGAAAGGCAACACACAGTAATTTCTAGAAGGTTATGACATGACTGACAGTAGCAAACTGAAGCAGCCCAGGGATGGGATGGGGTATGGAAGGAGAAAAATAAAACGAACTAGTTTTAATATTTTAATGATAAATTTAATTGGAGAGAGGACACCCAGGGAACAGGACACTGGGGGCACAGGACACCCGGGCAAAGGACACACATGGCACAGGACAGCGGGCACAGGACACCTGAGTACAGGACACCTGGGATGCAGGGCACACGACACACATGGCACAGGAAACCCAGGGAACAGGATTCTTGGGACAAGGGACACCTAGGGGACAGGACACCTAAGGAATGGGACAACCAGGGGTCAGGACACGTGTGCTACAGGACACACGGGGCACGGGACACTCGGGGCTGAGGATACCAAAGACACAGGGCACACATGGCACAGGACACCCGGGGCACGGGACACCGGGGCGGGCCGCTCCGCGGAGCCGCCCCGTGAGGCGGGCCCGGACAGGACGGGGTAAGTCAGGGACGGTGGGACGGATACGACCGGGCCGCGGCGGGCGCGGAGCGGAGCCAGCGGCGGGCGGAGGGCCAGGCCAGGCCGGGGGGCCCCGCCGGAGGGGCCGCAGCCCCGCGCTCCCTGCCCGGCACGGCCCCGGCCCCGGCCCCGCCGCGTTCCGCAGGCCCGGCGGGGCCCGCCCGGCCCGGGGGCGCAGGGGGAGCCGCGGCATCCCCTCACGACCTCCATGGGAACAGGAGGTGTCCCCTTACGACCCCCCTGGCGGGGCAGGAACTTACGGTGTCTCCTCACGACCCCCGTGGAAGGGCGGAAAGAGGGGTGTCCCCTCACGACCGACTGGAGTCAGGATGTCCCCTCACGACCCTCGGAGAAGGGAGGGAACAGTGGCGGTCCCTTCACAGTCCCCGTCTATCAGGGGGTGTCCCCGCAGGGCCCACATGGCAGGGCAGGCACCGGGGCTGTCCCCTCACGGCCCCCCCCGAGGCGAGAGGGCCGCGTTTCCCCTCAGCCGAGAGAATCCACGCTGTAATTCCCGTCACTAAGCGCTGTTTGTTGTCTCCCAGCTCTCGGGACCATGTGGAGCACGGCCCCTCTGTGCGCCCTGGGCAGGAGCCGCCCCGGGCCCTCCCTGACCCGCCTGCTCCAGAGGGAATATCGGGAGCTCCTGGTGCATGGCCAGGGCTGGGGAAGGACACACCACCTGCCCCCACGCCGATTTGTGAGTAATAAGTCAAAACACAGGCGGCACCCCCGCACGTACCCAGTTCTGGACGGACGTGTCCTCGCTGTGCACCGACATGTGTTCGAACAGAATTTAAGGAACAGCGAGGCTGTGGTTAAAAGGTAATAAACCGGTTTTGTGGGGGTTTAAAAGTGTTGCTGCTTGTAGCACGGTGTGAGAATTACTTACAGGCACTTCAACATATGGACAGTGGTTGCCCCATCCTTGGAAGTGTTCAAGGCCTGGTTGGACGGGGCTTGGAGCAACCTGGGATAGTGGAAGGTGTCCCTGCCCATGGCAGGGGTTAGAATGGGATGATCTTTAAGGTCCCTCCTAACCTAACCCTTTTGTGAAATGTTGACTGAAATACCCAAATCGAAGTGCAAACTGTATTTAACATAGTGCCATGTGTTGTTTTGCATATATTGCTAAGAAGTATTTTTTTTTAGACCTTCATAACATTTGTTTCGTGTTGGATTTTGAATGCAAAGACATAAATGGTGACTCACACACTCCTGACAGAGTAGGAGACAGTTACTGCAGTCAGTCGTGATTCAGTGATAAAAGCAGGAAAATGCATTTTATGTATTAGTCCTGAAAGATCAGATGGCAAAAATGCAAAGGCCTTTGTTCAGGGAGTGATCCATGAGCTGGAAGGAAAGCTACAGAAAACACACTGTGCCCTCCTGTGGTGGCATTTAGGACTTTAACAAAATCCTTAGCTTTTTCCTTCAGAGCTTTTCTGACCTCCACAGTCTGCAGGGAGCCACACTAAGATAATGGAGTCACACATGGAGTGCTGTGTGAGTAGCTGTGTCAAACAGCATTTATAGTTAAAGATGATGCATCTGGGGGAAAAACGTTGTGCTTGAAATAAAGGAAAAACCTGGTTTATTTAAGACCAAAATTATTTGAGATACCACATTTGTTTACAGTTTATTCAATTCTTTATCTAAACTTGAGGCTTCCCTGACAATAACATTTGGTAATCACTTCCTTCCACTGCAATGTTCACTACTGTTAGTGTATCTTCCATGCAGCAGAGTGTGCTTTTCTTCTGGATTTAGTAATTTATTCTACTTATCAGTTACTGATTTTTGTCAGATAAACTAGTTAAAGGGAGTTGACAGAGGAAGCCTTTGTTTGGCTTCTTCCCTAGAGTAGTTAGAAATGGAGATTCATGCTGAGATAGGATGAGCACATTGTTAGACTTATTTTTATATATTATATTATTGCCTTTATTAGACAGTTTTTGAATAAGGAAAGTAAAATGCTTGCTTTACATAACAGATCTTTGCTTTTTATTACACTTTGTAAGAAAAAATAATCCAAAAATGTGAGTTCATCTTCTTTCTCCTGCCATTTATATGAAAACTGTGCAATATATTTTACTATGTTCAGTCTACTAAAAGGTAACTTATAATGAATCATAGAGTCATCAAATGGTTTGGGTTGGGAGGGATCTTAAATCCCATCTCGTTCCACCCCCTGCCATGGGCAGGGACACCTTCCACTAGACCAGGTTGCTCCAAGTCCCATCCAACCTGGCCTTGGACACTTCCAGGGATGGGGCAGCCACAGCTTCTCTGGGCAACCTGGGCCAGGGCCTCACCGCCCTCACAGCCAACAATTCCTTCCCAATATCCCATCTGACCCTGCCCTTTGTCAGTGGGAAGCCATTCCCCCTTGTCCTGTCCCTCCAGGCCCTTGTCCCAAGTCCCTCTCCAGCTCTCTTGGAGCCCCTTTAGGCACTGGAAGGGCTCTAAGCTCTCCCTGGAGCCTTCTCTTCTCCAAGTGAACACTCCCAGCTCTCCCAGCCTGGCTCCAGAGCAGAGGGGCTCCAGCCCTGGAAGCATCTCCGTGGCCTTCTCTAGATGAGACATGTTGAGCTTCTCATCCACCAACACCCCAAGTCCTTCTCCCCAGGGCTGCTCCCAATCCATTCCTCGCCAAGCCTGGATTTGTACTCGGGATTGCCCAGACCCGGGGCAGCACCTGCACTTGGCCTTGTTGAAGTTCCCCCAGGCCCACATCTGCAGCCTGTTGAGATACCTCTGGATGTCATCCCTCCCCTCCAGCGTGACCACACCACACAGCTTTGTTTCCATTAACTGAAACTTTGTTTCTTCCATTAGATACTTGGAATTGTTGGAGAGGGTGAGGAAAGGAGGGGGAGAAAACGCCATCCTGCGCCACACTCAGCGCAATAAGAAGCTGTTTGTTCGGGAGCGCCTGAAGCTGCTGCTGGATGATGAGTCTTTCCTGGAGTTGTCCCCTCTGGCAGGGCTCAACATGCCCTACGGGGATGTCCCTGCTGCTGGATGCCTCACTGGTAATGGAAAATGGAATGGCAAAGGAAAAAGGGTGCATGTCATAAGGTTTATGGAATATTTTAGTATCTGTGCGTTCCTAGGAAAGGTGAACATCAGTTCTATCCAGGAGCAGCTCCCAACAGGGAAGAGTTCAGCCCTGCTGTATTATTATTATGTGATTTTCTGGGGGGAAATCTGAGAGAAACCTTTTTTAAAAAAGTCTTTTATTTCTTCCAGTTTTAATAATTGATTCTACTTGCCAGTTATTGATTTTTGTCTCAAAAAATTTAGGGTGATGTATCAAATCAGTTGTTGCCTGTTGAAGGAGAGGGTACAAAGTAACTGTGAGACGCAGGACCTGTGATGTTATTTTGTAGTGTTTTTCTAATCGTAGACAATTGTATTGTCTGTGCAAACATTGTCTTTTTAAACTGGAACAACTCTTCAAAATTCATTTTAAAATTAAAGAAACACTCTTCAAAATTCCTTTTTAAAAAGAACTTAAAAGAACAGAGTATGAAATCCTTCTTTTATCACAGATTGTTACCTTTTTCAGTTTTATAGGGGTAATTTTTAATTGCCTCCCCTTTTTTATCTCAAGGGTTGGGAGTCAAAGTATGTAAGTTTTTCTCTTTCATTGTCACCAGGAGTACGTAAGTTTATTTGAAGTTCTGTCTTCTGTCATTTGGATTACTTTTTTAATGTCATGGTTATTCTAGAGAAGAGGGATAGATTTCTTTCCTTTGTGGTATTTTCAAGTTGATTTGGATCTTCTTGAGACAGTATTACTGAAAAAAACCTCTTGGCTATAATTTGGCCCCCTTGTTTTGTGTGTTATTTTAAAGAGTCACGATAAGTATCCGTGGAACTGGTTTGAATTGAATTACAGGAATTGGCAAAATCTGTGGAATCTGGTGTGTCTTCGTGGCAAGCGATGCCACTGTGAAAGGAGGAACTATTTACCCAATTGGAGTGAAAAAACAGTTAAGAGCCCAAGAAATTGCCATGGAGAACAGGCTGCTGTCTGTGCACCTTGTGGACAGCGGGGGAGCATTCCTACCACTGCAGGTAATGCTGGCATCACTGCAGAGGAGAAAACATCTGTGTTATTTCATCCCTTTGGCTAATCTTGCATCTACTCACAGTTTAGAAACTTGAATGAGTGTGCAGAGCTGCTTTTTTGTCTTTAATAAACCAGTACCTAGTGTGAGAGGCTTCAGAATCTATAGTTTTCTCTGTTTTATTGCCTTGTTTGTGCTAGCAATGCACCAATGTCCATGGCCTTTAAAAGTGCAATTTTTGCAATTCTTAATACAAAAAGAGAATTTGCACAGGTTCCTTTCCAATGGAAAAGGTCATCCTATCACAGAGATTGTGGTTGTTCCCTCTCCACACTGAAAGCAAGCACACAGCAAAAGCTTTTACCTAACTTAAGGAGTTGTATCAAAAACTGAATAAAAAGGGAAACTGCTGAAGGCATTTTACAGATAAAGTAGGAACATGAGCCTCCACTTCTCCATGTTTACAATTTCAGTTTGTTTAGAATAAATTAGTTTCACAAAAAATCATGAAAGACATGGGTGTATTTTTGGGATTTCACAATGGAAGAAATACCACAGTGCATGCTGTATATGAAAGGCTCAGGTGTGATTGTGAGTGAGGACCTTCCCAGGTTCAGTTACAACATATTTAGGAATGAATGGAGTGAAGAGAAGGCATGAGCTTTTATAGTTAATATTAAAATTAATTTTTTCTTTTCTCTGTACATCAGTCAGAGCTGTTTCCTGACAAGCTGCACGGTGGCAGGATTTTCTACAATGAAGCAGTCATGTCTGCCATGGGAATCCCTCAGGTACAATGTCATGGGGAGGGCAAGTGAGGGTGGTCTGTGTGATCAATTGAGTTCTGAAAAAAATATTTGTTCCAATACAATTTCTAGGAACGACTCTCAAACGTGCAGAAAAATTCCTAAATTTATTTCTGGGGAAGGGAGACTCAAATAGTATCAAATCATGGAATTGTTTAGGTTGGAAAAGATCTCTAAGATCACCAAGACTAACCATCAATCCAGCACCACCACCATGTTCACCACTAAACCATGTTCCCAAGTGTCATATCCACGATTTTTGAAAACTTCCAGCAATGGTGGCTCCACCACTTTCCTGAGAAGTCTGTTCCAATGCTTTAAACCCTTTCTGTGAAAAACATTTCACCAATATCCAGTCTAAACCTCCCCTGGTGCAGCTTAAGGCCATTTCCTCTTGTCCTGTCCCTTGTTCCCTGGGAGCAGAGCCCGACCCCCACCTGGCTCCACCCTCCTGTCAGGGAGTTGCAGAGAGCAAGAAGGTCCCTCCTGAGCCTTGTTTTTCTCCAGGCTGAGCCCCCCCAGCTCCCTCAGCTGCTCCTGGTGCTCCAGACCCTTCCCCAGCTCTGTTCCCTTCCCTGGACACACTCCAGCCCCTCAATGTCTTTCTTGGTGAGAAGGACTCAGAACTGGACACAGGACTGGAGGTGGAGCCTCCCCAGTGCCAGGTACATTATCTCACATAAGGGAACATTTCAGCCTTAAGGATCTTCTGTTTCCTGACTGACTGTGATGGAAAAGCATCAAATCACTGGGTTATTTCAGGGTAAACATTGAACTCTCCAAACCAGCATTGTTGTTCCTGCTGGTTTTATATCTCCAGTTCATTGTTCCCCAAGCTGTGGTTTAGCACCTTGAGCATTTCTGGAACAACTTTGGGCTTTGACTTTTCCTCTCCCCTCTCCAGCACTGTCTGTTGTGGTTTCTGTGCCCTCAGGTGGCTGTGGTGTGTGGCTCCTGTGTTGCTGGAGGTGCCTACGTGCCCACCATGGCCGAGGAAGCTGTGATCATAGATAAAATTGGGACGCTGTTCCTGGCTGGCCCACCACTTGTAAAAGCTGCTACAGGAGAATATGTGTCTCCTGAGGACCTTGGAGGAGCCAAACTTCACTCACAGTATGTGGAATATTCTCAAAAATAGTAGAGAATTCAGCATACTCAGCTTTACAGGAACATGGCATTGTCATTTCAGAGCAGGGCCAAAAGGGGAACCTGTGATTACACTGGTTTTCCTTCTCAGATTCAGGGGTTTTGGTTAAATCAGCCAAATGGAAGTAAAATTACATGTTGTTATGGGGTGAGGCAGAGACTGGACCAATTGGATTTGGATTCCCGTTGTTCCTCATACTTCCTGAACAACTTCAGGCAAGTCAGTTCCTCTGTGCCTCAGAGGGACCAGCTCAGAAGAGAGATGCTATCACCTGTTTTCATAGTGTTTTCCAGGATACATATATTTAATTAACTACATGTCTTATGTACTTTTTATCCAGGCTGGAACCTCTTATTTTGAAACAATTCCTAATGTTTGTTTTCCATTTTCCCTTTTCAGTATTGTTTGTAACAACAGCCTCATGAAAATACATTCAAAGGTCTTTCTTTAATCCAGATAAACACAAAAGTCACAGGGAAGAACTTCTCCTTACTGTGAATTTGGGTTAGATTGAATGGAAATTTCTTTGAGCTACTGCTTTCAACTCATTCATCCAGAACAAAATCACACAGTATTTGCAGGGAGTTTGGAGAGCCACAGTACAGATTAAGGTTTTTTCCTTTGGTTTGGGCTTTCTGTCAGAGTTTACATTTCATGCATTCAATGCTAATCCATGTTGCTCTCTATCCTAGAGTCAGTGGCTGTACTGACCATTTTGCACCTTCAGAAAAGGAGGCCTATGAATGTATTCGCAATGTTATCTCTACGTTAAACTATGACCCAGTGCCAGAGGAGGGCACAGAGCACGACAGTCCCCTGTACAGCTCTGAGGAGCTCTTGGGACTGGCACCACAGGACTATAGGTGTACTCTTCCTGTCAAACTGGTAAGGGGACAGGGACTGCATTCCTTCATCCTTCTGTCTGCTCTGTCTCATAGCTCCAGATTAACAGAATGCTCTCTCTTGAAGAATACGTATTTTTACCTCATCCATTGCCAGCCTGTCTTGAGTCTGCAACAAAGCAGGATGGCAAGAGTTCTGTAGAATTATAGAAAATATTTAAATTGAAATCCTGCTGGAGATAAGATACATTCTAGATAGTTCTAGATTATGCCAGCTGATCCCCATCTGTTTCCATGCACTGTTAAGATGCTGTTGTGTCAGCATGGCTTGTACTGTGTTGGTTGCCTTGAGAACATGCACCCCTTTAAAGTCTGGTTTTCCCCTCCTCCTGGTTTTTGTTTTTTTTTACCCCAGGCAATCAAGACTGTCATGCAACAGAAATGCCTGACTGAAAAAACAACACAGCTCAAATTAAACTTGTTTGAGGTTGGGACAGACACTAATACTTAAGCAGAGACAATGCAGAGCTGCCCACGCTATTTTCATTGCGTTCTAGATGAGATTTAGTCTCCAAGGATGTGAATCCAGTATCTTTTCCAGTGGTAAATTTTTGCAGTTAAGGGGATTGACTGCAGAAAGCAGAGTAGCTTTGGAAACGGGTTTTAATTTTATTGGAAAAAAGCCTGAGCAATACGCAACAGAGTGTTTCTTATGCACAAAATCTGTAACTGCACATGCTGGGGTTTTTTACATTTTTATGCACATGAACAACTGTGCTTTGAAACACTGAAATAATTTTTGAGTTGGACTTGGCTCAAAATACATGGTTGGTAATTAAACTAAACACAAATTGGATGTTTTGTGCATATTGAGTATTTAGCAAGACACCAAAAGACCTTCTGTGTTCATTGAGGTGGATTTCTTGCACAACACAGGTCTCCTACTATTTGAACAGAGCATTTCTTTTAGCAGAATTATCCTATTTCACTTCAATTTCTGTAGTAAAGTAAAATCTGTGTCTTTCTTTGCAGATTCTGAGCCGTGTGGTGGATGGAAGCAGATTCCAGGAATTCAAGGCTAATTTTGGAACAACATTAGTAACAGGATTTGGCCATGTGGAAGGGTAAGGCTGTGAATATTCACTATCAAAATGGATGGACGCATGTGTCTGAATAGCTTTTGGATCACCATCAGGTTTTACAATATTTCAATAATTTCTAGGGTTCAAAAGTGAAAATCATGGAATGGTTAAGGTTGGAAAAGACCTCTAAGATGATCGAGTCCAACTCTCCATGTGTCTTGTTCTGTAGGCACTTGGTGGGGATTGTGGCCAACAATGGGGAGCTGGCTCACGACGCTGCTCTCAAGGGCAGCCACTTCGTCCAGCTCTGTGGCCAGCGGGGAATTCCCATCCTCTTCCTCCAAAATACTGCCCCACAGCCAGCAGAGCCAACGAGCATCTCACAGGTATGGCAGGTCTGCTTCCATATACTTAAGCAATTCCTAGTTCTTCTTGTGCCTAAAGTTACCTTTTCACAGTTATTAATTGTTAGGAAAATTGTTCTTTTTTAAACCACTTTTGATGGTTTAAATCATGAAGCTTCATAATGACTTTATTCTTAAATCTCTCCATTCTCTCTTGAATTTTAAGCAGGCCTGTCTGCCTGTATAAAATTTTAGTGGTCAGCTGGCAATGCAGGCTGTAAAACCTATAATTTAAAGTGCTTTTTACATTGAAATACAGTTTATTGATTCTTCTGACACCACTGCACTCCGGAAAATTAGCTATTTCTCTTTTAGAAAAGTGTAGACATTAAAGTACAGCAGGTTTTGTCCTGAGCTGGGGGAAGCCTCCTAGTAAAACCTCCACTAGGTTCCCGGATCTGTTTCTGCAGTCTTGGTTCCTCCCAAGGTCACCAGTCCTTAGACAAAGCCTGGCACAAATGAGTTGCTCAGTGTTGGAGGCATTTGCACCTGGTTGTAATTGTTGTACTGATTTAAGTATTAAAATAAGTGCATAATGGGCTTATGAGTTAATGATAAGAGTTATTTATGATATGTATGAGTTAATGATACCAGTCAGTTAATGATGCTGCATTTCTGGTGTGGAAGAAATGATCACACAGAATTGTAAATAATAAATAAATGTTTAGAAATACGAGTTTGGTGGGAGCAAAGGGGATCTAGAATAAAGTCTTAAAGGATCTAAAATGTCTCTTTTTATTCCAGGCAGAGGCTCATTCCAACAGGCTGAAAGCCCAGGCCTCCATGATGGCTGCTGTTGCTTGTGCTGCTGTTCCCAAAATCACCATCGTCATCGGGGGCTGTTACGGGAGCGACAGCTACGTCATGGTAGGGGTGGGGTCAGCCCGAGGGCTTGGGACACACCTTTCACACTGTGCTAAAACTTCACAGCCCTGCAGTTTTAAAACAGTCCGTTACCTCGATCTGTCACCTGCTTTTTAAGTAGGAAGTGCAGCACAGGACATGATTACTGAAAATTAAACATGTAAGAATGAAACATGTAGGTCCTTGGAGTTAAAACTCAAATACCAAAATAGCAATATTGAAGGCAGTGGGGATGGTTTTTGGTGGTTCCTACCGCTGGGTGTCTGTGCTGATACAGGAGCTGTGTCATTAATGCTTTACAAATCCAAGTGTGTTCCATTCTGCCTTGATCTTCATTGTGCCATCCCACAGATACCTTTTGTGATTGACTTCAGTGAGTTTCACTGTGCTTTTGTTTTTTCTTTGTAGTGTGGGAGATCGTTCAGTCCAAACTTTCTGTTTCTGTGGCCTAATGCAAGAGTTGCTCTTGTGGATTCAAGACATTTCTCCACAGTCCCACAAGCTGGGGACAGTGACTCTACAGATGAATCAGAGCTGAAGCAGCTGAAGACAAAGTAAGGACATTAATTGCCTACTTTTGTTCATCTTACAGAGCACCATATCCCAAGCTAATAAAGCAAACCTGAACCTACTGAAAAATATTTTAAATTTCCATGTAATTTTATGTCTCTCTGTTAGGATCTTCTCAAGCTGGTCTGTGCTGCAGAATGGTCAGATCTGTTGTGTTATTTTCTGCATTCAGATTCATTTTAACAGCAGTACTGCATGGAACTCTTTGCTTGTTTCAGCTATGACTTTTTCACTGCCCTGATGTTTTCATCATGCTTTTAAGCCTGTTCTGTCCTCTCCAGGCTTGAGGAAGAAAGCAGTGCATTTTACTCCTCTGCCAGACTCTGGGATGATGGAATCATTCTACCTCAAAACACTAGAAAGGTGGGTTTTCCTTTTAGTATATCTTTTTCGCAGATCTCACAAGGATCTGGCAGCAAATGTATAAGCCCATGACTCACTCAAGATCAGCAGCATGTTGATTCCAGACCTGGGGCTCCCACTGCTCACTCCTGTTATTGTGGAATTTAGCTCTGTAATTCTCATCCTTTCTTTTTCCCCATTAGTTTATCCACAAAGTTTCTGTTGAATTCTGGTTACTTGATCAGAGCATTTCCTCACTGAGCATCTCCATTGAGTTTACCCTTTGATTCTGTATCTGAATCCTTTTTTTTTTTCATATAATCACCCATATCTTCAACTCTCTGAAGTTCAGGCTCCTCACCATCCCCATTGTTTCCATTCTTTTGTCCTAGGATGTTGCTTTTTGCAACTTTCTCTTCTTTCTTGTAATTTGCTGTGTCCGTTTGGGATGCCCCCCTGGCTTTGTATTTATTTGAAGTTGGCAGACATCTCTTCATTCTTTCTAAAAGCCACTGCCTTTGTTCTTCTATTTTTCCTTCATTAGCAATAAAAATGTTCTTTGCACTTCTGAAATTTGTTCACATGAAGATCACAAATACTTGAAGATCTCAATCTGTCCTGGTTTCAGCTGGGGTTAAACCACAATACAACCCTTCTAAGTATGGTACATATTTATGGAACTATGTGGATTTAAAATATTTTTTGTGGAGTTCATGGGAACTTTGATAATGGGGGAGCACCAAGAAGTGTTTTTTAGTCCTAGAGCCCTGAAATTCCCTTCTCTGGGAGCTACACATGAAAAGAAAATATGTGAGAGTTGAACTGTTCATTTTAGCATGTTCAGTGCTTCACAAAAAGAAGGAACAAATAAGTGCAGAACTGGTAAGTTTTACTGTTTGTTTTGTTTTTTTTTTTTATTAGGGCTCATTGCTTATATTGGTTTTTTTTGTTTTTAATTAGGTGATTGCCCAGTGCTTGGACATCATGGAACAGCAGAAGTACCAGGCTGTGTCTCCGTGTCGCTATCCCATCATCAGGATGTAATCTTCACCCTCAAACCAGCAGCCCTGCAGAGCCAGCACCACCTGCCAGAACTCTTAGTGTAAAGGATTTTCTAATTCTTTGATATATTAATAAAAATGTTGAACAATTGAAGACAAACAAGAAGGACAGATTTTAAGTCTATTAGCAGGAAGTTTTTATTTTCAACTAGAGCCTCTTTTAACATCAGCTGAAAGTTTATTTTGTGAGAAGGAAGGATAAAGCTGAGCATCTGTAGCACTCTAAGGAAGCAAAATCAGCCCAAGGGATAACAATTGCTTGATTTTTTTCATGTTCATGTTTTAGCATGAAATACAGAAATCAAGAAAATGCACTTTGGCAAAAGAAAGGAGAAAGAGCAAACACACAAGGAGTGTGTGCAGTTTGCAGCCTTACTGAAGAACAAAACTCTACCTGCCACCAGCCCTGGGCCACCCAGTTCAGGTTCCCAAAGCAGCTGTGGAAAGGCTCCACTTGGATTGCTCTGAGGATACTAAAGCAGTGACCAAGAGGGGATTTAAATCCATAATACTTCAGTATAGGCTAAAAATTCTCAAACATGTAATGGAGCAGAGACTGTTACACATAATGTTACCACGTGTACAAGTGCTGAGGTTACACTCTGCTCTTTCAGGCATCTTTCACTCTGCTGCAGCTACAAGGATTAAATTTATAAAAATGGAACCACCACCACACCAAACTTGTGGTGTTTTAACTGGAAATTATGGCAAAGGTTGTATTTAAAAAATACCTGATCAAGCATATTGAAGAATCATGGCCAAAATTGAAGTGCTCACTGTGAATGAAGCAGCCACAGAAACGAAAGGGGATGTCGAAGGATTGTAGGTCACTGGAGTGGCTGTAAACGGAGACTGCCCCTTTGGGAGCTGGAACAGACCCACGTGAGGCATGGCTGGCAGGGTCATGCTCTCTTGAAGCACCCATGGAAGGTCACAGGGATGTTCACCTCCACCTCGGCCCGGGCCACCTCGCTCATGTCCTTGGCACTGAGGATGAGCAGGTAGGCGGGCTTGGGCCCCGTGCCTGGGCTGACCACGATGCTCAGCACAACCCCTGCAGTGAAAACACAAAGGGGATGTCCCAGGTGAGTGTGGGAAGTGTCTGTCCCTGGGGCTGGGCATGGGAGAGCAGCCACTTGCACTCAGAACACTGTAAATCCCATTGGAATTGTGTGATCAATGGTGCTGAGGGAGGTGGTGAGTGACACTGGCTCAGGCTGTACAGAGAAGTTGTGGCTGCCCTGTCCCTGGAAGTGTCCAAGGCCAGGTTGGACGGGGCTTGGAGCAACCTGGGATAGTGGAAGGTGTCCCTGTCCATGGCAGGGGGCTGGAATTAAATGATCATTAAGATCCCTCCCAACCCAAACCATTCCATGATTCTATGATTGTATATTTATTTCTCATACTATTTGGGCTCTTGACACTGCTGGCTTTGCCAGCCTGTGGTGCTGTGGCACAGCAACTCCTATAATTCTTTTTAAAACTGTGAGAAAATTGCCAAAAAGCTAAAAAATTAAGACAACAGTTCACCTAGACCTTGAGGTCTTTCTCCTCTGTTTTCATTCAGTCTTAATTTTCCTGTATTTCCTCAGAAACTTCCCACCACCATTTGTACCTGGCACATCTGGTCCAGGAGCTGCCTGCAGGCTCTGCCCCTGCCCACCTCTGGCCCAGCCCTGCAGCCAGCCTGGTGTCAGCTGACAGAAACCTTCCCACTCCCAATGCCATGGACCCAAACCCCATGAGCATTACCATCATCTTCCTCCAGAGCATCCGGATGTGAAACAAAGATGGGCTCCGACGGGTACGAATCCGGCTCCTGCCACACCCAGGTCTCCTTGGTCTTAACATTCAGCTTGCAAAGCTAAAGGAGGGGAAAACCAAAAACCCCAGCTCAGAAATATTCTTTGTTGTCCTCAAACTGAACCCATCACCCATTCTTTGACAGTTACCCTGTCTGGGACAAAGTGATTCAGCCCCAGCCCATACGTGTACGTGTACGGCTTCCCACTGTATTTCTTGTAGTTGATCTGTGGGAACTCAAAGGCTACAATAAAAAATAAATATATAAAAGCATGAGGATCAGTGGGACAGGGAGTGCAGGCAGTACTTGTGCTGTTGGGATTTGGGGTCTCATTTGTACCGTGACGTGGCCCCGAGAAAATCACTTCAGGCTCCAGCCAGATTGTCTCGTCGCTGTGCAGCGTCGCTGTGGCTGTCGTGTAGGGCAGGGTGACCAGATTCTTCCCTGTGTCAGCCTGGCACAAAGAGAAACGCCCAGGACATTGGAGGAACACATTTTTGAGTCTCTTTGCACAGATCTGTTGCAAACATTGACCAGGGAAGGCGGCAGGACATAGCAGAGCCTCAGGAGCTGCAGGGAGGTAACTGCTGCCGTGTTCTTGGCAGTGGTGCAGAACTGTCTTGCTCCTCAGCCATCACTGTGCTCGTAAACACAACTTTCTTCCCCTCCTTGGGGCATTCAGAGGTTTTCATTAAGCACTGCCACGTGGGCTTGCCCTTCTCACTTGATCCGCAGCCCAATGAGCTCCATGGGCGGCTCAGCTGAGCACAGCCCTGGCAGCCCCTGGCCCACCCACCGGGGACCAAGAGAGCTGGAAAGGAACCCAACAGCCGCCAGCCAGTGAGCTCTGTGCCAGGCTGGCAGCTCCAGGGACCTCACACCGAGAGCTAGAGGACTGAACCACACATGTTCCTTCTCTGCCCCCTTCTCTGCTCCCAGGAGCAGTACCTTCCAGGATTAACTGCTGCCCCACAGCCTCTGCTATGAACAGAAATGTATGGAATCATCAAAGGGTTTGGTTTAGGAGGGACCTCAAAGCCCATCTCTTTCCATCCCCTGCCATGGGCAGGGACACCTTCCACTAGACCGGGTTGCTCCAAGCCCCGTCCAAACTGGACTTGAACACTTGCAGGGCTGGGGCAGCCACAACCGCTCTCAGCAGTTGTATGGAGAACAAACCAGAATAACACTGATGAGCTAAAGCAAAAATAAAGTTTCTCTGAGGACCTCTACTTTAAATTTCCTCTTCTCATTAAAATGTTGAATTTGAACCAGGCAGAGCCCTGTGCTGGCCCAGAGCGGGTACCTTGTCGATGTTGAGGGGCAGGACATATCTGCGGGCCTCGGGCTGCGGGGCCTTCTCTGCGTGGCGCTTCACCTCGTCCCAGTTTGCCCGGAGGTTGACCAAGTACAGGTAATTGTAAATAAACTCAAACCTGCAGGGAAACAGAATCACAGAGAGAAACAGAGATGGGTTTGCAAGTCGGAGTTGAAGTGCAGATGTTTTTTTCCTAAAATTCAGTAGATTCATAGAATGGTTTGGGTTGGGAGGGACCTTAGAAAGCTCATCCAGTTCCACCCCCTGCCATGGGCAGGGACACCTTCCACTAGCCCAGGTTGCTCTAAGCCCTGTCCAACCTGGCCTTGGACACTTCCAGGGACGGGCTAGCCACAGCTTCTCTAGGCACACAGAGTAACATGAGTCCCAGTCCAGCTCCTTGGCAGAGCTGAACTTTGTGTGCACCATTTCCCCTGGGAGGAAAACCAGCAATTTCTGGTGCTCAGCACAAGCACAGGATGGGGCTTGGAACAACCTGGTCTAGTGGAAGGTGTCCCTGTCCATGGCAGGGGGTGGAATGAGATGAACTTTAAGGTCCCTCCCAACCCAAACCACTCTGGGATCCTATGATTTTATGCCAGGATCAGCTCAACTCAAGGTGTCCTGGGTATGCAGCCGACACAGGGTTGGGCTTCATCATTTCAGAGCCACATTTCTGTGTTTCCACAAAGACCAGCATTCAAATCTCACCCAGACCCTGCTCAGTGCAGCCCCAGCCAAAATAGCATCAGCCCTCGGCAGTCACTGACATTTGTTAAAGTAAATAAAAGATAGAAATATTTTTTCTCTTGGAAAATGAATGTTAAATAGGCTCCTTGCACCTCTGGATAACTCCATGCTCTGTAGTCTGCATGTCCCCATGTGTTAGTGTTTAGATGAGTTGGTGCCAAGTGCCAGAGGTGATTCCAACGGTGTCTTGTGCAGGGCTCCACTGCCCTCCCCAGCTCGTGCAGGGGAAGTTGTGGTGCCCCAGGCCCCTCGGACTCACCCCTTCCATGTGCAAAGGTCGACGATCAGGAACCCGTTGTCCTCGTAGGTGTTGATGTGGTGGAAGAGGTTGAAGGCCGAGGTGCGGTACTTGAGGTTGAGGAGCCGGCCCTTCTTCTTCTCAGCCACGTGGATCCACACCTGAGGACCAACCAGCAGCTTTGCTTAGGCTCAGGGAAATGAAGGTGAAACCAATACCATGGACCTCCCAGTGTTGGGCTGGCTGCCCAGGCCAGCCCATTTGGGGACGCCCCTCTGCTTACCCCCATGGTTTCGTTTGACTCAAAGCAGTCCATGTAGTTGGCTCCCCAGAGGCTCCAGGAGGAGAGGAACTTGAGGAGGTTGATTTTCACTGGTGTTTCCACAAACACGATGTAGTTTGGGGTCAGCCCAAAGCTGTTTAGAAATGCAGGGGGGGCACATCAGGCTCACTGGCTTAGTTTGGACAACAACCACAAAGTGCTTCATCTTATCACATGGATCATCCCCTACAATTACCCTGATTTTGGTAAATCACCTAGTTTTTGTTGCTGATTATGTGTGAGAACAAGTCCCTGGTTCCAGCTGACCCCATGGAATGTTACCTGTGGACATAGGACGGCTTAAACCTGTCACTGCAAGGGAACTGCACCACCACCTGTGACTTGTTGATCGGGTCCTCCTTATCTGGAATGGGACAGGTGAGGGGTTAACAGAAGGTCTCACATAGTCTGTGCTTATTTACCCAGTAAATGTCTGCCTTCAACACAAAGGAAATTCATGGTTTAGAAACCACTTGAAAATGTTTCAAATACAACACTTAAAAAGTAAATAAAATCTAAGGAAGCTTGAAAAAAAAAAAACCACCAACCCTCATTTACAGGATAAGATTTTCCCAGGTGGCTCAGAGGCGGGATTGACTGACCTGCCTGCAGTGGAGGAATCCGGATGATGTTGTAGGCCAGGGCAAAGTTTTTTCCAAAGCAATTCCCAATGTTGTAAACTGTCCCATCATTCTCAATGTGGGGATGAGCCGTTACCCCGTTAATGGACACATATTTACAGAGATCCACCTGGAGAACAAAATGGAGACAATCAGGAGCTTCCCTGGCAGGAGATGGGGAGTCACTGGCTCTGCAAGTTGTCATGAGTCAACACATTCTTGCATTGGATGTGAGAAGTTCTTTTCTAAGGCTGCAATTGAGCTCCAATTTGCAAACTCCAGCCAAGCACGAACATGGAGTTGGAGCTCCAAGGGCTGGAGCTTTTCTGCTCTGGAGACAGGCTGGGAGAGCTGGGGGTGTTCACTTGGAGAAGAGAAGGCTCCAGGGACACCTCAGAGCCCTTCCAGTGCCTAAAGGGGCTCCAAGAGAGCTGGACAGGGACTTGGGACAAGGATCTGGAGGGACAGGACAAGGGGGAATGGCTTCACACTGCCAGAGGGCAGGGTTAGATGGGATATTGGGAAGGAATTGTTGGCTGTGAGGGTGGTGAGGCCCTGGCCCAGGTTGCCCAGAGAAGCTGTGGCTGCCCCATCCCTGGAAGTGTCCAAGGCCAGGTTGGATGGGGCTTGGAGCAACCTGGGATTGTGGAAGGTGTCCCTGCCCATGACAGGGGGTGGAGCGAGATGAGCTTTAAGGTCCCTTTCAACCCAAACCAGTATGTGATTACATGATTTTCATTCAGGACAAAACCCCACCTGCTTAATTGTCTCTAAGGTGTCTGGGTTAATCCTGGTTATGAAGTTGGTCTCAGTGCAGGCATAATAATCCTCACCCACAGGGTAGACATTAACCAGGGCATTGTCCGTGACCTCCACACCTTTGAAGTAGGAGAAGAACCTGAGCAGAGAGAATGGACAGGCAGTTAGGGCCTCTGGGAAGCAGGAGCTCTGTGGGACATGGCAGCAGTGGCTGCAGGACCCCAGTACCTGGAGAAGATGTTCTTGCAGGGGTCTGGGTACGCGTAGGTGCCAAACTCCGTTATGACAATCCTTTTCTCTGTCATTGCTCGCACATAACAGTCAGTCCTGATAAACCTGGGAGGGTGAGGAGGAGAAATCCCCTTACATATAAAACCACAACAGGCTGTGCAGTTAAATATGAATAAATACAAATAAATATGAATATTCCTGTGATAAAGCTCATGAGAGCCCCGGGTCCCCACAGCCTCATGTTTCATCTGGAGCTGGTTTAATGATATCACTGATACAGCTCTTCCAATAATCCCATGGACTAAAAATAACCGGTGCCTTCCAGAGCCTGTCCCCAGCACTCACAGTCAAGCAACTGCTTCCTGATTTATTCGTTTCTTGGAAAACCACCACGTACCTTCTGTGGTAGGTGACGTGCCCCTCCTTGAAGTCAAACTTGTGGAGCAATGCCTGGCCATCGAAGAGGTGGTAATAGGGCTCTGAGCCCACCTCAAACAAGCCAGGACCACACCTCAGGAGGCTTCCTCGCAGCCAGGTGGGAATCCTGCCTGTGGGAGAGGCAGTGTTGGGATGCACACGGCAAATCAGACCAAGGAATTTTTATGGTGACAACAAAAAGAACAAAACTTCGAATTAATTTTTTTAAGGCTTATGCAACTTCTTATTTAAACATACATGAGGTCTTGAAACTGTTTTCTTCCCCTCCACACCTGCTGTAGACCAAGACATTCAGTACTGAAATATCTAAAGGTTCTCCCATCCAATCTGTCCTTCCTCCACCCCAAATCCCTAGCCCTGTGAGGTCCTTTACTTCCAGCCCTTGTAAAGTCTCTGAGCCCTGGAGGCCCCTGAGCTCTGAGAACAAAGCCAGGCAGGAGGAGATCAGGGACCAGACCAACCTGTGACGTGGGTGGTCACTGGAGAGGACAGTTCCTCCACCGTCTCAAAGAGCTTCTTGTAGCCCCCAGCTGGATGCTCCACTCTGGAAGGGCAAAGCTGGGTTAGCCCGAGGTGGGCAGTGCTGGGAACCCCCTGCCAGGGAGGGGCAGTTCTTCTGGACACACTGAGCCATGACTTGCAAAGAACTTGAGGCATCAGGAGGGAAGAGCACTAGAACTGCATGGGGGGAAAGGCTGAGTGTGTGGAGGGAGAGGGAACACCGAGGGGAAAGCCCACACCACAGCCCTGCAGCAAACACTCCTATCCACTGATAAATCCAGGATAGTCCAGACATTAGGAAGCAGAATCCAGCTTTTATCTCCCAGGTTTTGGAGAAGCATTTTTTTGCCTTTTTTCTTTCTTTTTCTTTAAGCAAAGAATTAATTGTTGGATTCCAATTTTATCACTGCAAAGCCCATGAAGACACAGCTGACAGACCAGCGTGCTCTGCCCAGAGCGGCTGTGGCTGCCCCATCCCTGGAAGTGTCCAAGGCCAGGTGGAACAGGGCTTGGAGCAACCTGGTCTAGTGGAAAGGGAGTGGAATGAGATGGGATTTAAAATCCCTTCCAATCCAAACCCATTTGGGATTCTACGATTCTACTCCAAATACTGGACTATCCCCTGGAACCCAGAGGTGAGCCTATCCTCCTGGATCAGAACCACACCTTGGAATGGGAAGTACCATCCCCCTCCTCCTCCTGCCCCCTGAACCACACTGACCCCCGACCTCACAGCTGCCCCAGCCAATGCTCCATCAACATGGTGATCCATGATGCTCTCCCATAGAGAGGAGCTTCAGGAATACTCACTGGCTGTACATCCTCTCCCCGATGAAGGGCCTGAGCCTCCAGCAGCCAAGCTCAGAGCAGAGCCTTGTGCAGGGTATTTATGGGGTGCTGAGCCCTGCCCAGGGAAGCCCCTGCCAGTGAGAGCCCCCTGGGAACAGAGCTGGCTTTCACCACCCAAATCCTCCCGGGTTTGGGAGCTTTTGTCCTGCCCTCCACACAAAAAAGGGCTTTGACTGCTTTTGTGAGACCTAAATTCTTCCCAAGCAGAAGTGATTACAAAGAAAAAAATCCCAAGGAGTGAAACGGAGCGTGCTGGAGCCATGCCAGGCATTGGCACTGGCACTGGGCCCTGCTCTGGCACCACAGGGCACAGGAGACCTGCCTGGATCCAACATGGACCCAGGGCAGCACGGAATGGCTCTTCCAGAGCCTCCCCTTGGAGTGACAGGACATAGAGACATCCAGAGATAAGGAGATGCCAGTGTCAAACATCCTGGAATATCCTGAGTTGGAAGGGTCCCACAGGGATCATTGAGTCCAATCTCTGGACCTGCCCAGGACACCCCAACAATCCCCCCCGTCCCTGAGAGCATTGTTCAAACGCTGCTTGAGCTCTGGCAGCCTTGGGGCCATGATCACTGCCCTGGGGAGCCTGTTCAGTGCCCGACCACCCTCTGCAGAAAGAACCTTTTTGTGATATCCAAACTATATATCCCCTGGCATAGCTCCAGCCATTCCCTGATCCTGTCTCTGGTCACCAGAGCAGAGATCGGAGCTGCCCCTCAGGAGGAGCTGCAGACCCCAAGGTCTCTCTCAGACTCCTTCTCCAGGCTCGTCATCAGGAACCACCTGTAGCAAGAGTCAACATTTATGAAACAATAGTGCTGTAAAGAGTGATTTCAAAGATTAATGAAATCAGAGAGTTTAGTGCTGTCCCCTCACAGGCAGCTCATGGCAGAGGATGAAGATGTTCCATAATACCATGTACATTTGGGTGCTCCTCCCATATAGATGGAAACAGTGATCAAAGCTGGGGTGAAAGGAGAAAAATAGACTTTAAACATCCCTCTGTTTGATCTGCTGCCACAGCCATCACGTGAAGCTTGGCTTCCTTCCCTGGTTTTGTTTGTTTGCTCCCTCTTTTCAAGGCAGTGTTCTCATTTGGATTGAGGGTTCATTTAAGGCTTCTCACTGAAGGCACTGAGCCTTCAGGAGCTGTGACTGAGGCCTCCCATTAACTCTTTGGATTAATAACCATAATTATATGGTAATTTCTCAGTGGAAGTCTCCTGGCAATAAATAATATAAACTTGAGTGCAAACTCAAGGCCTCTCAGCATTGCAAGTCATGTGGAGACTTTTAATTAATTCCAGGACTCAAAACAGCATCTTAATGTTTGATGTCATGAAAATTCCATGTTTCCATGGTGACAGCATCTTCCCAGGCCCCATCCTTCTCCAGGCAGAGATCCCAAAACATCTCTGGTCCCACACACCAGCAGCCAAGTTCTCCTCCTGAATCTTACCTGACCAGGCAACTCTTCTGGTGTGACATCGACACCAGAACAGCACAGGACAGCAGACAACCTACAAACTCATTACAGAACTGCTCTTCCTTGCAATTAATACCATTAGAAAGGAGTTATTGGTGCTAATTAGCAAAAAGTGTGCTCTGAGGCACAAGCACCAGCAACTCCGCCTGCTTTTCTCTGCGGGAAAAGGAGGGAACAGTTATTGACCTCTGTCCATTTCAAGTGGATTAAAATACTCAAAGGCTGTAAAAAGGAAGGTGTGAGTAGCCTTAAGTTCCATATATGGAATTTTGGTCATTGATTTGTAACGTTTTATTGTCCCACAGTGAGTCAATTTGTCCATTTATTCCCATTTTTGTTAAGCTCTGTCAAAAACTTAGAAGGGAACATTAAATAACCTGGATCAAGAACTGGGAAAAATGAGGGCAGGCCTTTAAAAGCCAAATCCTGCAAAATGTGAGCTGCTCACCTAATCAGTTACTTAACTGGAACACATAAACAAAGCATTTACACAACAGGGAACAGGTTGGGAAGTGTTGGAATCAAGTTCAGACAGGTACTGGAGTGTTAAAAGGAGTTGACTGCAGGTGTTACAAGGGAGAAACATCTTGCACCTGCCCTGCAAGTGGAAAGTTATCTACAGGACATTGAAGCATCATTAAAATAGGTTAAATGGGGCTAATTTGGGTTTCTCACTTACAAAACCTTCAAAGAAAGAGCAAAAGGATATATTTTGGGAGAAAACTGAAGCCCAGCCTCATGGTCACAGATGTAGAAGTGTACCCACTTGCTGCATCATCCATCACTCCTATTATTTTGAGAATCACACCAATAGATCCAAAATAAATTTTCCATGAAAATGTCAGAAATATACTTAAAGACTTTTAATATAAATAAATATAGAAAAGTTAATGAGAGTTTTACAGATGAGATAAACACAAGCATTTCAGGGAGGCAGATAATAATTCATGGTGAACTTTTGGCTCTCCTGGTCCTGAACTCACAGAACTTCTTTTGTTTAAAGACAAATATTTTGAGAATAGAGAAGGCACTTAGTCACAATACACAGACATTAAAACCTACACAAACTACAATAAATGGCACAAATTCCTGACCAGACATTAAAAGGTTACAAGAGGCAGGTCATTAGTTTCCCATAGAAAACCATATATAAATTTTTGGTTAACAACAGCTTTGTGCTTATTTTCACATTTTCCTACATACATTATATTGTAATAATTTGTAAACAGATAAATATTTCTCTCTTAGAAGTTATTCAAAAGTATCTGCATAAAAAAAAGGGTATTTTGGCACCTTTCAGCACCTTATCCATGTAAACATTTCTTCCTTCTACACAGAGCCAGCATCAAATTCCTGCAGCAATTCCTCTGGTGAATCACTCAGACTCACATCCAGGAGATAAATGCCTCAAGTGTGGTGACATTAATACCTCAGGCTCCGAAACCTGGGCTTCCTCAGGCTGAGCATGGGCTGCTTGATGGTGGGTTTGTTCTCCAGCAGCATCGCTTCGCTCTCCGTCGTTGGAAACCTGTTCTGGTAGATCTGGGGGTATTCCCTCTGGAACTGAGCATACACAAGCAGCAATCACAATAAAATCCCACACTCCACCAAAAGACTCCAGCTAAAAAAAAGTCTGTTTTACCCAACTGGGAGCCAAGATTCACCTGCTCTGGAGCGGTTCTCCCAGAAAACCTTACTTACGACTCTGATTCCATCTCATTTCAATTCCTGCAGATACACAGCTAAAGGAAAATACCTGGAATCAGACGCATATTTGTGACATTTGGCCTGTTCCCTGTGTCAGGCCTTGGGAAGAGATGACTAACTGTAAATAATCTATACAGTAAATACACCTGAACATCAGCCAAACCTTTCCACTGCTGGATTCAACCTACCCCAAGTACCCAAAGCTGAACAATCATTGCAAAAGTTGTGACTTATCACACCATGGCTATCCCAGCTCAAATGGCAGGACTCTAATGATATGGTTCTGTGAAATTTAAAAGTCAGCTTTGCTCACTTGTGGCTCTCACAGTACAATTTGCTTTTGGACTTTGTGAGAATTCATCAAAAATTTAAGTATCTACTTTAAGTTTTACTATTAAAAGATTTTAGTTTATTTCCTTCCTCCTCTTTCACCTGTTGCTGTGAATCACATCTTAGCGCTCACTTATTCCAAGTTTTAATCAACTCTAATTAACTCTTTTTTACAGGCAGGAAGTTTTAATGATCTTGAACCAAAGTCCAGCCTCACTTTTACAGTCCAAGAAAGTTTCTACAACACACATGAAACTCAGTGTGGCAGGAGCTGGAGGAGGGGCACCAAAGAGTTCCTGCTCTGAAAAGCTGCTTGTTCAAATTTGAGTCACAAGATTTGCTTAGGAGATTCCAGGACAAGTACAAAGCTATTCCATTGGGCAGAAGAACTTGCCAAAGGTTTTTCTGCAAAAGAAAAACCCCTCCAGGATTAAATCCTGCCAGAACTGCTGTGTTTTAGCTTTAGTATTAGGCAAGATATTAGTAGGCCAGAGAAGTGCAAGATAATCTTGAGGAATATAAACGTTACAAAACACAAAGCCAAGGCCACAAAAAGAACAATTCAGGATTGCGAACAGATAAGAGGTTGGTCGCTGGTCTCCTAAAGCAAAAAATTATTGCTTTTAACACCTATTAGTTTTAAGCCCACTTATGGCATGTTAATGGTGACTTGTTGGCCAGTGCACCACAGGACACCAGGCTATAATTCCATTAGGTATTATTTAATGGAGAGCAGGATCTCAGAGTAACTTCATACTGGTTTTAAGCCATTATTTGAACACCCCAGAGACAGTGTCAAATGCTGTATGTTATCATGGAAGGTTTGGGTTGGGAAGGACCTTAAAGCTGACCTTGTTCCACCCCCCGCCACAGACAGGAACACCTTCCACTATCCCAGGTTGCTCCAAGCCCCATCCAACCTGGCCTTGGACACTTTCCAGGATGGGGCAGCCACAGCTGCTCTGGGCAACCTGTGCCAGGGCCTCACCACCCTCACAGGGAAGAATTCCTTCCCAATTTCCCATCTATCCCTGCCCTCTGGTAGTGGGAAGCCATTCCTCTCAGTATCAGAAACTGTCTTTAAAATCCCAACCAGAGCACACAAAACATCCAACAGCTCTTCTGAGCAAGTATTTCTCACCAAACACTCTCTTCCCCCCCTCTTCTGCACCAGGCTCTGTTGACTGAGCCCTTCCCTCACAAAGGCATTTCAGAAGCAGGTGAAAGTTCCTCACCTGCTTTAACTTTTTCTTTTTGTCCTTCACAGACAAGTTTTTATCCTTGATAATGTTCTCCAAGAGCTCTGTCACTGCAGCTTGAGAGGTAGAAACCTTTTGTTCCTCGAACTCCTGAGGAGTGATTTGTTTGCAGTAGGAATACGTTGGCAATATGGCACAAATTTCTTCCTTGGGACATTTGCACTGGAAGAAAAAGAGGTCTGTAAATACTCAACTGATTCTGTACTATTTCAGTAAGAACTCACAAACATCCACACCCACTAACTTACAGTGGCATCACAGCTGCAAAACATTATAATTAATATCTATACACTGAAACCATACTGGTTTTATTTGCATTTTCCCATCCCACCTTCAGAACAATTAGCAAATGAATTTAAACTCCCCTAGTACCACCAACCTGAGCCACCCTCGCGTATTCAAGGTGGTCTCGCACAGCGACCTGCAGGTGAGTTGGGACCTGGAATATTTCCTGCTGATGGTCCATCAGAAATGAAACCAGTCGTGTAGAAAGCAGCTCATCCAGGTCCGCTTCCTCTGCACAGCGCAGCACACAGCGGGAAAACGTCTGGATCAGCTGGGAGAGTCCAGTATATCAGTAAGTACACACAGTTGTGGATTTATTTGCCTTCTCTCCACTCTACACAGTGGCACAATAAATTCTTCACACCAATTTTCACCGCAATTTTTCTTGCCTGCACCACTGGTCAAGCAAGGAAGGAAACTGATTTTAGGGTTTTTTAAAGTAACTTCTTATAACCTAAGACTTCTACTTCTCTTGAACTGAACAGCACCTTCAATTAAGAAATACATTATAAAGAACCTATAGAAACCTACAGAAAAATGTACATCTTCACAGAATCACAGAATAGAATCACAGACTGGTTTGGGTTGGGAGGGACCTTAAAGCCCATCCAGTTCCACCCCCTGCCATGACCAGGGACACCTTCCACTAGACCAGGTTGCTCCACGCCCCATCCAACCCGGCCTTGGACACTTCCAGAGATGGGGCAGCCACAGCTCCTCTTCAATGTTATAATTCTAAATGGCACTCGGGTGAGAAATCAGACTAAAGTACTCTTTTAAGAAGTGATTTCTCTTCTCCCCCCTACATAAACAAAAGCAATGTGAATATTTGAAGTCTCTTAGGATGGAGACAAGAAAGTGCTTGTTCAAGTCAGATTTTTGTGCATATTCTGGAGGTGAAAAATCTGCCTGTTAATACTTGCAGCATGCTGAACTTGAGGTTCTTGTCTCACTGCTTTAAACAGTGATTCTGAGCATAACTTCAGCGATACTCTTACAATAACAGGCATACTGCCCTTGTGGCTCTCTTACCAAGGACCTGTTGCCCATGGCATTGTGCAGCCGTGGCATGTCAACATTCCCACTGATCCGGGTGATCATCCGCATCAGGAGCTGGAGCCTCCTACGGTTTGGGGGTGGGAGCAGCAAACAGCAGATCTGCAGAGCTTCCACAGCAATCCTTTCCAAGTGAGGCTGCAGGAGATCTGCAAGTCAATTGCAAAGACAGCTGGCATTAAGATTTGAATCAACTCTCAGTGTATTTTTTACAACAGTACCAGAAATCTCTTATTTTACCAAGGTGATTATCAATGTTTCAGAGAAATCTGCTGTAATGCAGTAGATAAGGTAAGGACCTTTGTTGGTGTGGTCATCTTCAACTTGCTTCATTAGGAGAAATTGCTGGGGCAATAAAGATCGTAATACAATTAAAGAATGACACTAATGTTATTCCCAGAAAATGTTATTCAAAGACCATAAAAATACATCATCTCCAACAAACAGGTCTGTGCTAATTCTCATTCTCAGTGTCTGGGGCGGGATCTCTTATCACTTACCTGAGCAGAAAGGTCAGTTACCGACACGTCAATTCTTACTCAAAAGACACTACATGTTACTATTTGTTAGCAGAGCTACAGAAACTTAAAAAATGCTATTCAGCAACCAGATTTTTTAAAAAAAAAACCTCACAAATCCATGTTCTATGCATTTCAACAAACCTAGCAACAGTGCCAGAGGTGGAGGAAGCAGAGATTAGTCAGGCCATACAACAAGCAGTACAACATGCTGTAGAAAGCCATCTTACTTTGCGTGCCAGTCAACACACAAGGGGAGGGGGTGAAAGAGCTTTCTGAGAGTTCTGTGCTGCTTCTGCAGAGTCTCTTTTTGATGGTGATTTCGGAATCCTCAGTCCTGATGTCCACTGAAGCAGCCACCCCAGGGGGATTTGGTTTTCCTTGCCCCCAGAGCCCCCTTGGCATTACTGTGATTTCAGCAACTGGTCTGTTAATGACTGTGCAGCTTCTGCAGTTCCTCCTGCCCAGTGAACTCAGAGAGTGGCGCATCTGCTTCGACCCGTGAGTGTCATCCAACAGCTCGTCCTGAAGAGCTGAGGCAGACACTCTCTTGATGCCCTGGGTTTGTGTTTGACAGATGTTATCACAGCCCACCTCCAACACAGATTTAGCTTTGTGCTCACACAGCAGTGACTGGTCTCCATTTCTTGTGATAGTGTTCACACCACCTTCCCTGAGGGAATCACATCCTCCTTTGCTACACACACTTGAAGGAGGAGCTCCGATTCTTTCCAAGGAGTAACATCTTGTCCTAAATGCTCCAGGTGGAGCTTGTTTGTTCCTGAAACCTGAAAGATTCTGACAGCTTCCTCCTATCAGATTACCAGCACTACCTTGCTGATGTCTCAGTTTATACTGCTGCCATTTCTCTGTATGTTGGTTTTGGACAGTTAGCTCTTCTGAAGAAAACCTCCTGGAAGCTTCATCTTTCTTTTTCTTGTCAGGCTCTTTGTGGATCAGACTTAGGAGAAGACACTCAGTTGACTTGAAAGAGTTCAAGTGAAGAGTTTTTGAAGGCTGTGGGTCACATTTCTCATCTTGGACAGAACGTTTTCCACTGCACAGATCTGGAATTGTGATGTAGCCACACATAACTATCAGAAAATGAAATAGAAGTTAAGATGCAAGTGGTATGAAAATGGACCAGCTCTGAAAGCTGCTACCTGAGCAGAGAAGACAACAAAGGGAAGATATTAATTTATAGTCGACTGTTAGTAAAACCTAAGAAGAATTTAGCTCAGTCCAAAAGCAATTTAACAAGATAATTGCAACCAACATGCAAGAATAAAAAAGGTAACGCACTGCAGTAGTGAGGACAGACAGAATGAGCTGTATTTTTAAGTTCCTGAATATTTAGAATGTGCGCTCAGACAGCAATTTAAATGGAAATCACGAGACAGAACTACATTTCAAATAATACTTTAATACAGAGTGAGAGCAGTGATGATCCTCCTCAGATTCAAGCTGCCACACAGATTAGGGATCAAGGTCTGCTTTGATTTACAGATTTGTTCCCCAGCTGATATGAACTTACAGTTTTACTGATCCTTTCTAAATTCATACTTACCTAAAATATTAACAAAAAGTTCATAGTATTCAAAAGTAAGTAATGGCTCTGGGAGACTGAGAAAATAATCAGCAACTGTTCTGAACACGTCCCGTTCAAACCCACTGTAAGTTGTTTGGCTCATGTCATTGTTTCTGGGCCCTGAAAAGAAGTGAAGAAAGAAAATTCACACAAAAAATTTCACAACTGCATTATAAAACAAATAATAATGAATATTCACTTTCAACACTCAAAATAGGTTTCTGTAACTTAAAAGCTCTTCAGTGACTTACAGTATGCAAGGCACTTCATAGCTGACAGCACCCAGTGAGGGAGGTCTTCTAAAATATAAACAAACAATGACATTATTTGTACATAAGCCCAAAGATTTAATGACTAATACAAACAATGGCACACATATTAAATAACACCTCAATTACAAAATACCAGATTTTAAATTAATTTTAAATATTGCTACACATGTAATTTTGACAGGATAAGGGGGAATGGCTTTTAGTTGAAGGAAGGCAGGTTTAGATTAGATATTAGGGAGAAATTCTTGGCTGTGAGGGCGGTGAGGCCCTGGCAACAGGTTGCCCAGAGAAGCTGTGGCTGCCCCATCCCTGGAAGCATCGAAGGCTAGGTTGGACAGGGTTTGGAGCAACTTGGGATAGTGGAAAGTGTCCTACTATCCTAGCTCCATTTCCCACCCAGGGAGGGTTACAAACCAAGGCAGGGGGTGGGACTGGATGAGCTTTAAGGTTCCTCCTAACCCAAAATATTCCAGGATTCTGTGACTATCTCGTTGTATAAAGAGTGAATGCAATATACCTACAAATCTTCTAGACAAATATACTGAACTGTACTGTGGTTTGGGAAAAAACTGTAAAAATACAGACCACGAAATATATTACTTATTGTCGTAATTACATCACATAGAATCCTGAAGCGAAACCAGGGAAATCCATCTTACCTGACTTGTTCTGCAGAATCACCACCCCGTGTTTGCTGGTGTTGCTCATGTTGTACATGACGTGCTCAGGGACCACCTGTGCTGGCTGCAGAACCTCCTCCAGCGACGGGAGGCCCAGGATGGTCTGCAAACTGTGGGGAGCAAGAGCATGGGGTGTCTAGGTTTGTAATAATGAAGGAAAAACCAGTTCTTTCCCTATCTATTCAAAACCAGGTGCTTAAAAAGCTCATCTGCTGTTTAATAAATTCTCACTTTCAGGAGAACAATTTGAGGACATGCTCTTCTCTGGGACAAACAGCAACAACCAGTAAGGAAGAGCATCTGTGGTACTCAAATATACTTCAGCAACAGCAAATAATCAAGAATTCCTTAAATGCAACAATTCAATGATAATAAACACACTAGGAAACCTATGTAGAGAATAGTCAGTAAAAATCTGCAACTTAAAAAGGCTGATGGGCTATTTCACACCCAAAGCACTTGTATGAGAAGGTGCTATTTATGATTTATTACTTACTGTATCAGAATGATATTTCTCCAAGTTTCTTGCACATATTGCTGGCTTATTTCTTTCCTTTGTAGTGTGTCTTCCTTGTTCTCTTTTATCACATCAGGTTTTGTTTTTTCTAGGTTTTCCTGAAAATGAGAAGTTTATAATGTAAGATAAACAAGACTCAAGATAATCCAAAATTAAGTAATTAAAAAACTGGAATCAGAAGTATAGGGAATTCTGTGGAACAATAAATTCCATATGGTATTTCAGCTTTAGCACTGAAATGTAAGCACACACAACTAAAAAGCAAAAGAGGATACTGAAAAAAGACCTGATCGATCCCCAAAGTAGCAATTTAAAAGGTAGAAACATCTCACATCCAAATGTATTTGTAAATGATTTATCCTCCTTTAGGATTGGAATCTAAATTCAGAATTTATGCACATACACAAATTTCAAATGAATAAAGGGACACACATTCAACCTTTTCCAAAAAGCTGACCAGTTAAATAATTTGTATCTTTTATTTGTCCCTCCCAATACTTCCAGAAGCAAACAAAAATCCTCCCATACCAATTTATTTCTTAATACTTCTCAATTTCTTAACTACCAAATTACTTCTCAAGCTGAAAGGCCACAACAGAACAGTGACACCAAAAGGTGATTGCTTCTAGTTTTATGTTTTTGAAGAATAAAGACAATACAAGACAACTGCAATGACGTAAGAAACAGAAGTTATTACCAGGGACTGCAGTAACTCGTGTTTTTTCAAAGTCCTCTTGGATAAATGGGGCAGTTTAAAAAGTTTTTCTTTGTCTGTAGGGAAGTTTTCCAAGTTCTCTCTTGGCGGGCTTGGTAGAGGTTTAACTGGAGATGTTGAAGGAAATCTGTAATGGGTGGGAGAGATAAGTGAAATAGATTCAGGATAGATTAGAAATGTCATAGCTGGGCTTCGGGAACGAAGATTTGGGAAAGGTCTCTACCCATGTTTGTCACAAGTGCGCTGGTGGCTAAAATCAGAAATAAAATAAGTTACTTAAGCAAAACAATACCCTGTGACTCCATACCAGTGTGACTCTAAGATTCTGAAGAGATTCAGGAAAATAAGAAGGAAAACACTGATTTTTCTTTTTCTTCATCATATGATAGATTAACTTTGGGCTATTTTTTGTGATGCCAAAGTCACGCTGAAGATGCTCAGATGTTTACAGAGCACTGAGCCCAGAATTTGAGAAGTGAAGGCCATTACCACCTTTCATTTTAGAGCTTTTTGGCTCCGTTTCCCATTTAGACTTTCTGTAAAAGGTACAGGAGAAATAAGCACATCAGGGAGCTACTACAAACCACTCCTTGACTCCCCTTCAAAGCACTGGAGTGCAGAATGTATTCCAATGAAAAGCTTGGATAGACAAGAGCATGGAAACAACCCAGAGCAGATAAGATGTATGGTCTATACTGAGAATCAGAACAAAGTAAAACACTGAAAGGAGCAAAACAATGCTAATAATTAAATTTTTGGCCCAACTGCTCAGCCTAAATCTGAGTATTTTAAAATCAAATTCTCAACCTGAAGAGCCATTAAATAATTTTCATCTCAATACCTGTACAAGGCACCATTGTCTTCCAGATTTTCAGCTCCCCACCTCCCTTTTATATCCTCAATGACGTGGTTCTTGAGGAATTTCCTCAGTAACTGCACCGTTTGCTGCCTGGTCACCTCGGGGCCGAAGTTGCTGTTATTCCTGAGAACCTCATGGAGCCAATCCACAGCTTCCGAGGCAGTGAAACAGCTCCCGTGCTTCCTGAAGTGCTGCCTGTGTTTCCTCAGGGGCATTCCCGCTCGGAAGTACTTGGTGATCTCGTTCCACTGCACGGGAAACAAAACAGCCAAAACTGGAAAATTAAAGCCTCAAGCTGAGCATTGCGAATATCAGTGGCAAGGCGTAGGGGGACCCAGCGCACCCGCATATCGTGACAGTGGGCAGGGGTTGTTCCAGGGCACCCGCATGTCACGACAGCAGGTGGGTGGCCCTAAGGCACCCACACGTCGTGACAGGAGTCACAGGATGGGAGGTAGCAAGGTACCCATATATCGTGATAGCAGGCACGGGGAGAGTGTCCCTGGGCACCCACATGTCGTGACAGTGGCCATGAGACACCACGGCACCCACACGCCGTGGCAGGGGGTGTCCCAGGGCACCCACGTGTCGCGACAAGGGCAGGGGGTCCCAGGGCACCCACGTGTCACGACAGCACCTAGGAGGGGCAGAGTCGCCTCCTGTCCAACAGCGCTTCCACGGGTGACACTGGCAGCCCGCTCCCCCGGCAGCCGCCCGCTCCCCTGGCGCAGCCCCCGCCGCGCCCCGCTCCCCGGTGCTCACCAGGCGGGTGGCGCGGTACGGCCCCGGCCCCGGCCCCGGCCCCGGCCCCGGCCCCGGCCCCGGCCCCGGCCCCGGCCCCGGCCCCGGCCCCGCCATCGCGGCCCCTCCGCCGGCCCAGGACGGGCACAGCGCCCCCTATCAGCCCACACGCCACCAACGGCCGCCGCCGTTCGAATCCGCCGGCGGCCGCGGATTGGGCGATCCATGGGGCATGTGACGCGTGACGTCATGCGGGCCGGCCCGAGGGACGGCGTGGCCGCGGGTTCGGTTCCCGCCCCGAGCGGGTCCTGAGCAGCGTTACAGGCGTTAATTACCTAACAGCGATGAGCAGTAATCAATTAATCCCAGCTAATTACTTAACATTAATTACCGTGCTGTGACACCTGGCCCCACCTCATGTCCGAGCCGCTCCAGAGGTGAAGGTGTGGCTTGGCAGCACCTCAGGAGGATGAGTGGATGTCAATAAAACTTGTTCTGTTTGTGAAACTTTGATCTCATTGTCAGGGGAGAAGGAGATAAAAACCTACATGAAATGTTACCTTTTGCATAGAATCCCAGAATGATTCGGGTTGGGAAGGACTTTAAAGCTCATCCAATCCCACCCCTTCCATGGGCAGGGACACATTCCACTAGCCCAGGTTGCTCCAGGCCCCATCCAACCTGGCCTTGGACACTTCCAGGGATGGGGCAGCCACAGCTTCTCTGGACAACCTGTGCCAGGGCCTCACCACCCTCACAGACGAGAATTTTTTCCTAATATCCAGACTAAATTTCCCCTCTCCCAGTTTGAACACATTACTCCTTGTCCTGCCACTCCAGCTCCTGATAAACAGTCTCTCTCCAGTTCCCTATAGCCCCTTCAGACACTGGAAGGTGCTCCGAGGTCTACGCAACCCTCTCCTCTCCAGGCTGACCAGCTCCAGACTCTCTCCATAGGGAAGGCGCTCCACTCCTCTTATCAACTTCATGACTTTCTCTGGACTTGTGCCAACAGTTCCATATCCTTCCCATGTTGGGGACACCAAAACTCTACCCAGTGACCCAGGTCAGGTCTCACAAAAGCAGAGCAGAGGGGGAGAATCATCTCCAACCTAGTGGCACACTCCTTTGGATGCAGCCCAGGATTCAGAGCATCTTCCCAGACAACACTCGAAGAGGCAGGTGGGGCTGACGCACCTCTTAGGTCCCATGGGATCAGTACAGAGCTTACATGCAACATTAACTGCTCTAAAAAATGTGTCCTTTCAGCTCCCCCCTTCATCCTGGGCATTTCCTACAGATACAGGTACTCTAGAGACCACTCTCCCCAAAAAAACCACCAAACCAACCCCAACAAGTATTACAACAGCATGGCTTTCATCGTTTGGCTTTTAAGCTCAGATCCTCTAGACCAAATATATTTGTAACCTGGGAGATATAAATACCCCACGAGTGTTTTATTTCACCTTGATGCAGCCATCCATTGCTCAGATGCTTTAGTCACACCCCTTAAACTTCTTTTATAGTCAATAAAGACACACAAATACCTCAGACACTTTTATAAGAAAGAATAAAACCATCACTGCAGTGAGAAAACACACCAGCATAACAAATAGACTGAAGCAATGGATGGCTGTATCAGACTCAAAGCTACAGCCCAGGGAAAATAATAGAAATAAAAATCCAAAACACACAGGCATCTAAGTGGTGCCTCCCAGCATAACCAGGGCTCAAACACCCCTGGGAAAACTATATAACCAGTATAGAAAAGGGCTGGCTGTGCTGCTTTTATGTGCTTGCAAAAGGATTTGCAGGTGCCACTCAGAGCTGGTTTCTGGTAACTTCTCTCAGGTGTTTGAGCTGTGGCACCTGCTGGAGACCATTCAAAACTCAGTGAAGATGTATTAATTACTGATTAGAATAAGAAAGATCTGTATTCTCTTATTAAATTCAAAAACTTCAGGGATCTTTTTCATCACTTACGTTACAACCACTCACCTCCTGTTTTCCTTTCTCATTAAACTGAGAACAAACCAAGACACAAATGCTGATTTTCCCACTAACCCAGGCTCTGAACCTATGCAAGGGTATAAATCAATTTAGTGATTATCTTAGGGAAATCCCCCCATGAGTAAAGCCTGCAGAAAGTGATGACTCCAAGTGTTTTACAATGGATTAAATGGATTACTTCCCATACTCCTTCTCTCAGGTCATTTAAAAATGTAATGCTTGATGTATTTACATCCAACCTCCTGCTTACAAATGATGTAATACATTTTGTAAACCTTCATCTCTTAGAGCAAGTAAAGAGATTTTAGGGACATGTCTGTAAAAGTGTGGTGTATTTTTATCCCCCCACACTCATGAATAGATGCAATCAACTGGAAATATAGTCACCCTTAAAAATGATTGGAGGGCACCTTCAGGTCACTAAAAATATTCCTAGAGCCAGTTTTTATGGTTTTACAATGAGATTTCCTTATGCTTCAGTCTTTTTCTTTCCTTTATTCTCATTAGAGAATTACAAATACCTACCCGGGTATCAATCCACACTGAGAGCATCAATGGGACTCTTCCCATACAAAGGTCAGCAAAACACAGAAAGGGAGTAAAGCTTTATTTTCTGCTTCTCATTTATAATTATTTGATGGTGTCTACTACCAGCCACAGTGGAAGGGCAAATAAAGAGAGATTAATAGAGTTCTTTTGGAATATCAACGTTATGGCCGTGCCTCTGGATTGTTTTTCACTGTGTGAGCTGAACATGCTGTAGGTCTTTGTTCTAGTGGGCTTTAGACATAGGAATGAAGCTAATTGGAAACACTTAATGTTGATCTCCTGATGTTTAGTGCAGCTGAATTAACATCCTTGGCCTTAAGTTCAAATAGGGACTGATTTAAAAACATAAAGGAATTTAGATTATGGACTGTTCCCTGGGGAAGCTGTGGCTGCCCCATCCCTGGAAGTGTCCAAGACCAGGTTGGATGGGGCTTGGAGCAACCTGGGACAGTGGAAGGTGTCCCTACCCATGCCAGGAGTGGAATTGGATGGGCTTTAAGGTCTCTCCCAACCCAAACCAGTCTGGGATTTTGTGATTTTGTGTTTCTTTACAACAACCAAGTGTTGGGTTTGATCTCTAGTAAGGCCAAGCACATACAACTGTAGTAACAGCTATGATAGTTCTGCTGCTGGGACAACCAGGAGCAATGATGGAAAACTGAAATATTTGGATTTTTGGTGTAAGCACAGTGAGTAGGAAAGCTAAGAGTGGGGCCCAGCAGTGCTGTGAAGTGCTATGGAGGTTTCAGGCTTTGTTACTGTGATGCTGCTACTCTTTTATGCACATCTCTTTAAGTTGTGACTGGGGGCATTGCTTCTATATTCAGAGTAGGCGAAACAAATTGCCTGATATTTAGTGCAATGAAACAAACAGCATAAAACTGTGTAACAGCTGAAAGATATGTGAGTCCTTAATGCAAAGTTCTCATTGAGATAACCAGGTAGGAACTCAGCTGTACATTGATGAAACATTTAAGCAATTCTTTGCCCCTGAGAACATTATGCATCATTTTTTGAGGATATTAAAAATTGAGAGCTGGATTTTACTTTTTTCAATTTTTTAATACAGACTGTAAAAGAGCAACATTTTGTAGACAAAGAACCTATTCTGGGCTGGATGTGACTGGGGGAAAATGTGCATCGGAGACAAACTGCAGCAATTGCCACCATTTCATTGCAATGAAGTTTTTTTTCTTAGAAAAGCAATTCTGTGGAATTTCACAGCTTCCAGCTCTCAACATTTCAGCTGATTTGCTGCTTTCTGGAGATGGAATGACTGTACTTGTCATTCCACAGGCACTTTTCAGAAGGATTGGTGTGGGAACAAAAACAGGGGCGAATGCCTATGAAGGTGATCACAAAAATTGTGTGGGAATTTAAGAAAATAGAAGAATCTTGGTTTGGAACCATATATTTTTCTACTTCTGCTGAACTTTACCCCCTGTAGAGTCAGTAGTTTGTACAAAAAGCCACTTAGAGGGGAGGTTTTATGCAATGGTGTAGAAAAACCAAATGAAATAAGTAAGATAAATCCTGTAGGACCTGAGGGAACACCTGGAGCTGTGTTGGGGGAGGGTTAGGTTGGATCTCAGGAAAAAATTCTTCCCCCAGAGGGTGGTTGGGCACTGACCAGGCTCCCCAAGGCAGTGGTCACAGCACCAAGGCTGACAGAGCTCAAGGTGCATTTGGACAATGCCCTCAGGGACAGGGGGGGATTGTTGGGGCGTCCTGGGCAGGGCCAGGAGCTGGACTCATGATCCTTGTGGGTCCTTCCAACTCAGGATATTCTATGATTCTCTGTTGTCATTCAGCCTTGAATGATTACCTGAGATCTTCTGCTCTCCTCCTCAGTAACTCAGGATCCCCAGGCACTTTCCTTTCTCCCACAAAAGTTAAGGAATTCTGTACATCTTCCTCCTTTAAACTCAAGCAACCTGAGCACTGCTTTACTTTTTTTCCCTTTGGAGTGATGATGCATCAGTACCTTGTCCTGCTGCACCTGGCACAGTGAGGAACACCCTGCTCCTTTCCTCACTCAGTTTTTATGTAAATTAATGTATTTACCCAGCTCCCACCTCCTCCTGCCTTAATGAGTTAACAAGAGCGGCCTGAGCTGGTCAGGATCTGCCCTTCAGCCCCATCCTCTGCTGATTAGTTTGGATCCACCTGCTGAGGGGTGAGGTCACTTCCCCCCAGGGTGTTGGTTGATATAAGTAGCCTCCAGACTATGATGTATGTTTTCTGTCCTGGATCTTTTTGGGTGCTCCCGACAGAATTCTTCTATCTGGAGGTCTGGGAGTGGTCCCTGAGGTAAGAATCTATCCTGGAATCTGGTAGGAAAATGTTGCTTTATTTCCTCACTGTTCTTAGTCCTGTTTCTCCAATATGAGGTTCTGAGTGGCTCTTTTCCAGTAGCTTATAAAAATGTGTGAATGTGCTGAAGTTTTGTAGAAGCTATAAAGGAAAGCCTTGAAATCTTGAATAATATAATTTTTTTGGTGGCTGCAAAATCCTTTAACCTTGTAGGAGTTTAATTTGTATATTATTACTTCAAGGTT